AGTAACTTACTTTCTGATCGTCAGTATAGATTTTGATACGGCTGATTTGCTAATAGTAATAACCAATAGGTTTTATTGTGCATTAGATAAAGATGGAGAGGTTAAGGCCATCGCTCTTGACATTTCTAAAGCGTTTGATAAAGTTTGGCATGCTGGTCTTCTCCACAAGCTTTTTTCTTACAGTGTATCTGGAAACATCTTTAAGATTATTAACATTAACAATCTTCCAGATATTCTCACATCTAAGGTAGCATTGTTTGCTGATGATACTGCCATTTATTCTTGTCATGTTAAAAAGCCAACTCTCTCTGATTGCTTGGAGGGGACATTTGAGCTAGAAAAGGATCTCACTTCTGCTACAGCATGGGGCTCACAGTGGCTGGTAAACTTTAATTCAGATAAAACTCAATTTTTTTCAGCCAATCAATATCGCAATAATTTAGACCTTCCTATATTTATGAATGGTAATGTACTTGATAAGTTATCTACCCTTCATCTTCTAGGATTAACTCTTACTTTCGATCTTTCTTGGAAACCATATATCAAATCTGTTGCAAAATTAGCACCTGCTAAAGTTGCATCTTGTTGTCGAGCTTGACACTTTCTTACTCTGGATTCTAATCTCTATCTCTATAAATCTCAAATGCGGCCTTGTATGGAATACTGTTGCCATATCTGGGGCAGATCTTCTAATGATACCCTTTCTCTTTTAGACAAGGTGCAAAAACGCATTATAAGCATAGTTGGACCTACTCTTGCAGCCAACCTTCAACCATTATCACATTATCATAATGTTGCTTTTCTTTCTTTTTTCTACAAATACTATAATGGGGACTGCTCTAAAGAGCTAGCATCTCTTGTGCCATCTACTAAAATTCATTCCCGTGTTACTCGTTATTCAATTAAGTCTCATCTTTTTTCTGTTACTGTTCCTAAGTGCTCCAAAAACTCTTATTCGTCTAGTTTTTTTCCTCGAACATCAGTTCTTTGGAATTCGATTCCTTCATCTTGCTCTCCTGATTCTTATAATTCGCAATCTTTCAAGTCTGTCAATTGTTATCTTGCTCTACAATCTTCATCTTTTCTCTTCCAGTAACTTCCAACACTAATTAGTGGTTGCATTGTTGTAAGCAAAGATGTTCAAATATATATATATATATATATATATATATATATATATATATATATATATATATATATATATATATATATATATATATATATATATATATTTAACATCTATAATATATAAAAAAACAGAGCAATTATAATTTAGTAGAAAACCACTTAGCAAATTTTTTTTTCATTTAAGATTGTGTTTCATCAAAAATTTAAATATAATATATATATAAATTTAAATATAATATATATATATATATATATATATATATATATATATATATATATATATATATATATATATATATATATATATATATATATATATATATATATATATATATCTGATGAGTCTTCATTGATAAAACATAGTGTTAAATGAAAAAAAATTTTGTTAAGTGGTTTTCTACTAAATTATAATTGCTCTGTTTTTTTAAAAACATTAGGCACTCTATTTTGTAGAACACATTTTAAAATTGTTTAAATATATTATTATATTTATATATAAGGCATGAAGAAAACTATCCAGTGCGATGTTTCGCGCCTGTTAAACTCAAATATTTTTTTAGGGAGCGCGATTATGTGCGCTCCTCATTAAGTTATCGTGAGCGATCTTTTATTTTTAGATATGAGTGTTCCACACAATTTCATTAAGTTTTAATTAGTTATACAGCATTCTTAAGACGATAAATATTTAAATTATTATTTAGCAGTGCACAAAATCATAAATTCTTTCGACTTAAATACTTATTTATTATTTGATCGCATCTGATTGTATATTTTTTTACCCACCTAGTTCTTAATGATCTTGTTTTAAAGAATAGATTTATCTTTTATGTATTTTCTTTGTCATTGTCTTCATCTTTAACTTAATGCTGCAGTCAATTTTTTTTATTATTACATCGAATTTATTTGAAAGAAGTTCATTAGCTTTTATTTTTTTTCATTGTTTCATTCGTTTAATTAAAATATAAATTCGTAATGTTTTCGCATCATTAAAACATTAAACAATGAAATAAAGATTTCTTTTCATTAAAACTTATTTATTGTTTTTTCACTAATAAAACTTTTATAACTTTTTAGCAAACGTTTTCACAAACTTGAACTTTTTTTTTTCTCAAATTAATTTATAATTTTAATTTAGATATAAGTTATAATTTTAATAACAAAAGCTTTTTAAATTTAGTTAAATTTTGGCCAAAAACATTTTATTTAGATAATAACTTATAAAATTCTAATAAGATTTGTTAAAAATCTTTTCTATCAACATTGGGCTATTAACTCAAAGAACAATTAAAAGTTTTAGTATTTTTGGGTTTAATTTAATATTTTTTTCGAAATTAAATGAAAACTTTTATTATTATACATATGATTTTTAGCTAATGCTTTTACAAAATTAAATTTACAATGTTTCTTATAATTAATTTGTATTCATTACACAATTTAATATTATTAATAAACTTATATAATAAATAAAATTTTAATTTCGTTAAATGTTTGCTGTTTATGTTTTATATTAAGAAGTCTCATTCGCAAATCACCATTCATTGTTCGTAGAAATTAGCACTCAACAGAATGACGTAGGTTAACAAGAAAAAATGAGTTTTTTAATTGAAGTATCACTTTAACATTTTACCTCAGTTGAAAAAATGCAATTAAAGATATGTGAATAGAGATTATTTTGTTTTTGGCAATAAGCAAACTTTTTTGTTTAGTTAAACAAGAATCTTTAAAAAAAAACTTTTTATAAATTTTTTTTTTGTATAAAATCAAGTAAACTATTATTAGTTTTCTCCCTCCCAAATTTTTTAGACGAGCGCGATTTTTTACTCTCGTAACAAAATTAGCAAGCGTTTTTTTATTGCGCCCGCAATTTATAAATATTCCATTAACAAGCATGTTTCACATGATGGCAGCGATCGCTCCCGCTTCATGCCAAGGCCTGATATATATATATATATATATATATATATATATATATATATATATATATATATATATATATATATATATATATATATATATATATATACACACACACACACACACACGCACACACACACACATATATATGTATATATATATATATATATATATATATATATATATATATATATATATACACACATATATATATGTATATATATATATATATATATATATAAATATACACACATATATATATGTATATATATATATATATACATATATATATATATATATATATATATATATATATATATATATATATATATATATATATATATATATATATATATATATATATATATATATATATATAAAATCTACTATAGCATATATAGATATGCATTTGGCTACTTTTTTTTCTTACTTTTTTCCATATGAATTTTTCTTTAAAAAAAAGAAAAAATGGTTGTTGCCCTTAGTTAATGTAGCAGGACTCCTTTGCATGTTCTCTTTAGTCAGTAGATGTATGCACTGGAACCCATAAGTTGATGTATGTACTGAAAAATTATGTACTGAATGTTTAGAATATTGCTTTGTACTTCGAAAAATTATTTTTCTCTTCAATAAAATTTGTTTTTTTAAATTTTGATTTAAATTTGAACAGCAAATTTAAAGTGTGGATGTAACTAGAATGAATAGTTTATTATATGTATATCTCACGAAAAGTAGATAATTTTACAAGTTATTTATGCTTAAGTTACTTCAGCTGCAGTAGTAATTTGATACATATTGTAGTACATCTCATTAATCTCAAGAAATCTCAATTTTTTTGACAACCAATTTTAATGCAAAGTAGCTAATGAATAAATTAGGACTCACAAATATAGTTTTTTTTAATATTCTTTTTAGATGTATCAGTGATGGTTTTTCTTAGTTAATTATTTTGCCCTTTTTGACCAAATTTGACTTATTTTCCAAGCTGGGATGTGATTCAAAAACTTTTTTATTATTTTTTTTTTTTTATATCAAATTAAAAAAATGTAATTTTTAAATCAAGAAATTTGTTGTACTTACTTTTCACTGATTATGATATAAAAATGAAAATTTAGATTGTGGTGAAAACAGAATTTTTCGTTATTCGTTATTTGTTAAGTGACCATCTACATCATGGAGCAAACTTTATTTTTTTTTTTACTTTTACATTGGTATCAAATGTTTAATGATATTATTTGATATTACATTACATCGGTATCAAATGATGTTTAGTCTAGGATCAGACAAACCTGAATCTAAAATGCTAACCCAATCTCAAAAGTTGGCCATTGGAATAATCATTGCTGTAAATTAAACTAAATCAAAACGCATCAATGTATTTTGTAAAAAAATAACTTAAATGCTTCAAGTCAAGTTTAAAATGGAAGAGCTTTAAGAAAATAACTTTGAGTCAATAATGTCAAGTTTAAAATCAACAACCAATATAAAGATAGAATTTTTACCTTCCCATAACTTCTTAATGCAAATAGAGTTTTTACAAAATATATTGATAAATTTTGATAATAAAGGAGCCGAAGTGGTTCTTTGTGTCTACACCTTACTGTTTTTTTTAAACCATTAAATTTAATTGACAAAACTAATTAAATTTTGTCTACGATTAATCTTCCTTACTGTTTTTTTCATAAAAAATTTCATTTTGTTTTTAAGCTTCTTTTTAATTTTCACATTATCATGAATAAGTCTTACTGCCTGTTTTGATGCTGTTTTTGATGCCTGTTTTGATGAGTTGTTAATTAAAAATATTTACAAAGATTTAAAACTCACTTGGGAATTTTTTTTCTCTCTTGAACTCTGAGATTCATTTAAAAGTTCTTTTCTGATCTTCTCTCTGAGAATATCAAAAAAAAAAAAAAACAACTAGAAGTCTGGTGAAATTTATGGTTTTACCTTGTTTTTAGTGCCACCTCTGTAGCAGGTTCATATATGGTAAAATGGCTGTCAATAGTGTTGCTCAATATGTAAGTAAAAATATTGATATATACGGGTAAAATATGTCTTAAAATGACACTGTTAAAAATTTATTACCTTTAATCAAGATGAGAAAAAACCAAAAGTGCTTTTTTTAAATTTTAGTTTTACAGTATTGCCAGTGTTCAGTGGGCTGAGATCGACATAAAATGGACAAAAAATTATAACTCCTTTATTTTTAAAGTTGTTAAATTGAAATTTTTATCAGTGACTTTAGTCAACATGAAGGTCTTTTTTTTTTTAAATTTTTTTTTTTTTGCATATTCAGGCACCCTAAACACCCTAATAGAAAAAGGTGTATAGGGCGTTAGAGACTAGAACTTTTGGTTGTTTTTAGAAACAGTTTTCTCCAGATTTGAAGCATTAATTAATTAAATAATTGTGGCCTGTTAGACCCCCTTTAATAAACAAAAAAATATTTACTTAATTTTAATTTACTTAAAAAAATATTTTATCAGAAATCAGAGTAAAAATATTAATTATTTTAAATTAAAAAAAAGTTACAACAAAAGTTTACAATACAATTTTTGTTAAGTTTAAGTTCTTCAATACATCTCAAACTCGTTCTTAGAGAGCTAATAATTGGATCTGAATTGCACAATAATCTTCGCATAACATCTTCATATGTAATTTTTCTTGAATATTTTCTTGAAAAGTGTTCTCTATAATTTTTAATGTCTTTATTTCAACATTCCTGAGCTTCCTCAGAAAGAACCTACTGGTACTGGTTTATCTTGTACAACTTGAGAACTATGAATTAGATATTTATGTACAATTTGAGACATTGAAAAGCATAGGTACACAAAAACATAAAGCTCTGCTGTTTCTTTGGTATATTTTTCAAAGTCATCTGCATTAACTTGATGTTTGCACAATAAAACACAAAGAATTACGTAGAAACATTTCATGAGATTTTTATCTACGCTAAGTATTTCAGCAGAAAACTTATAGTTTCAGAATACTTTTCATGTTGTGTTTCCATCATTTGTTATACCTGAACCGCTGTTTTTGGATACATCTACAATTAAATCTAAAGTAATCTTTCATCTTTTGTTGAACAATAATCTTTTTTTTTTTTTATAACAATTTATTTATCATCCTTTCCTCTAATTTGCCATTTTCCTAATTCAATTCCAAAATTTATATGAAGGCAGCATTCAAAGCTTTAAATACATTCATGTAATGCGCTCAATCCAAGCTCAGTGGAAACTGTAACATAGATTTTTGAAAAAGCAACATTTAGATTGTTCATATTTGAAGGGATCAGTCCACAAATACTACATACTTGAAAGGAATTACTTAAAGGCGAAACTATACTAGCTACTTTTTCATTAACCATTGTGCATTCTAACTTGTGTTTGATAACAAAGGAATTAAAGATCGTTGGTTTCAAGTTACTGTTCTTAAAGGAAATATATTCTTGTGTAATAACCTTAGCACTTTCTTTTACATATTGAAATTGTATTGGATGGCAGTAAAGTGTAGGGGATGGTTTTTCATTAGTTTATAGTGATTTGCCAGATTCTTCAATATAAAATTTAATTGGAACAATGCAGGATTAGGGATTGCAATCCCGCACACTTTTCAATCCCCCGGGATCCGTGCGGATTTTTTTAATTTATTGGTAGATTTCTTATGCACGTTATAAAAGGCAAAATGATAATTGTATTTTTCTTTCAATTATTTCAGAAAAAATATACTCAACTTATTAAATTGATAAGGTGAGGTAAATGAAGCTAAAAACACAATTCATTTGTAAATCAATATAATTCTTAATTTAATGAACAAAAGGATAAGATAAAAATACGTAAAACGTCTTTCAGCTTTACGTAGAGCGTCTTTTAGCTTTACTTATTTTTAAAAATAAGTATGAGAAAGTATCATTGTAAGAAATGCGCTCTTAACAAACAGACCCTACTTAAAGTATCATCACATAATCTACTCCTCAAAGGACTGCATATATAGCCAGCAGCTGAAAAAATTCGCTCGGCCTCTATGCTTGTTGGTGATATGGTCATCAAGTAATTATGAGCTATATCTAGAAACTTGCCTCTTACTCCGTTATTTTTATAGGCAGACATTTCCTGCTCTAAAGAATCTAAATTTAGTATCTCCTTTACATTTTCTGTCCAGCTTTTCTTGTCTTTCTGTATATGATTTTCCAATTCTTTTTTCAGTGATAGAATTGTAGGAGTAAGTATTTGGGAATTGTTAATAGAATCTACAGCTTCTTTTTCTTCGAGTTCATTTTCTTCGTCTTTATTTCTTTCAATTGTATAAACTCTTGTCAATATTTTATTCCTTGACGCATAACAATTCTCTTTGGCATTGAAAAAGTATTTTCATTTTTTTTAATTTCTTGTTCATATTTTTTAGGATTTTGTAAGTAAACCAGTAGTCCATTTAAATTCTTATTACGATGTTGGGTAAACATCTAACGAAGTGCCGCAGCTAAATAATGCTCAAAAGTGATGATTGCTTTTGTAATTTATCTAACATAAATTTAAAAGTTGTTTCGAAGTGACAAGGTTCGATTCTCTCCTGCATAATAGTTCGAGACCAAGTTTTAGTGGTGCCAGACAAATAATTAAGTCATTAATTTAGGACCATTCTTCTTGGGTCAAACGAATTTCTGACCCTACATCAATTAAGGCTTTTTCAATACACACTTTTAGTCTATGAAAACTTTCTAACATATCGAACATACTGTTCCACCTAGTTTTACAATCAAGAATCAACTTAAGCTTTTTGCCGTGTTCATGTAGGATATACTTCTGTAAATAAGTATCATTTTTGACAGGAGAGTTTTTAAATATTTTCACAACCTTTCTCACTTTTTTCATGAGATCTTTGTAATTGCTAACCAATTCAGCAGATAGTCGTTCCAAAATTATTGTCAAACCGTATTCTTTATTTATAACTTCATCATCATCAGTGTTCTCATGTTCATCTTCTTCTTCGCAATTTTCATTTGTAGTAAACGATTCTTCGACTTCTCCGTTGTTTTTCTTGTATAAGATATCAATAACTGCAAGTTGTATTCCATGAGCATAACATAGTTGATGATAGCAAGACATCATTTTACCGACTTTCACCATCACACTTGCTCCATCAGTGGTCATGGCGATAATGTCTTTTTGGAGGTTGATATTGAATCTATTTAGCCTTCCTGAAACTAACTTGATGCAATATTCTGCATTACACAATCCATGGATTCAAATCAATCCAAGATTAAAGTGTTTTTCCTCCATATGTACATTTAAGTTAAGGTATCTCTGACTATTTTGTGATGTCCATTCGTCAAACGTTATTGAAAACATTTGATTTTGCTTTTTTATTGATATAAATTTTTGCATTATATCGGCTTTTACAGAATCTGAGAGTTTTACTACCATCAATCTTATAGTATTAGGTGAAGTAGGACGCCGGAAACCACTCTTTGAAAACAAATACCGCAAATCTGAAGATGTGCAAAAACTATTAAATGTAAAGCCATCTTTAGCAACCATGCGAGATACCATTTTTTCTATAGAAAGTTCTTTTACGAAACAAGTGTCTATTATTTTGACCTTTTTTGATAGAATTACCTCTTCGTCTTCGCAGTCGATGTATATTTTAGACTCTAGTTCAACTGATTCATGCTGTTTTGAAGTTGAAGCTCTGTCTTGTTGTAAAACGTTTAATTTTAAATCAGTTCCATGTTTAGTTTTTAAACGGATTAATAACCCTTTTGTTGATCTTTGACTAATTTTTAAAATAGCTGAACATAACATGCACTTCGCATTTTCTCCTTTACTACTTTTTTAAAAATAATCCCATATAGTTTTAATTTGCGACATGCTTAGTAGGTACTTTTGTTTTAAAATCTTCATGTAAATAATTTTTGAAGTCTTTTCAAAAAGTAGTGCGCTTTTTATTAATCACATTTTCAATTTAACGTTTTCAACATAGTCATTAACAAAACAAAAAAAATTTAAACGAGTTTCTCAGTATACACTTCATTGTGCACTTAATGACTATTTTATGACTAATCATTAACAAAACAAAAAAAAATTTGAACAAGTTTCTCAGTATATATTTTATTGTGCGTTTAATGACTAGTAAAATTTTAAATGAATTTGTTAAGCAAATACATTAAATACTTTAATTTGATATCTTTTTTGTCTTTGTTTATAGAATTGCTTTTTTATTTAAAAATAATAATTTCAAAACTCAGCAAATCCTGCGGATCCTGCAAATCCCGCAGATCCCGCAGTAGTTTTTGTGGGATCTCGCATGCGCTAAAATAATGTGGGATCCTGCGGGATTGCGGGATCACGCAATGCGGGATTGCAATCCCTATGCAGGATAAAAATAAAGATTGTTCCTTGACATAACTGATACTTATCTCGTCTTCTGTACTTTGTTTGTATAATGATTGGCCAGTTAAGCTATCAAATCCTACTTTGTGTATAAAGACAGGAATGGATTTCAGGAGCCTTTATTTTCAGAAGCCTTTACAGATTTATTGAGTATTTTTAATAACCTGTATGTAGTATGGTTAATATGGCTTTGTAAATCAACTGAGGCTGAATAATCAGTATTTTGTATTCCACAACGAGGAATACAAAATACTGATTTTGTATTCCTCATCTTTTTCTTCCCTTACTTCATTATAAGTTTGATACAATTTGTTTCCTTTAGAATCTGCTCCAATGCGAATTGTTGCAATCGGCTATACTAAGTCGGCAGTCCAAAATCAATGCTAATGCTTCCTCTCCAGTATACATTGTTGTTGAATTAACTGCACCATCTTTCTCTGATTTTAATATTTGCTTCACAACTTTAAGTGTAAAAATGTAAATTTGAAGAGTGAAGTGAATACAATCCACTAAGAAAAATTATCCCCCTATGGAATATGGAATGTATGGTATTTGAGTATGGAATTCGCACCGTAGACAGCTAATTTGTATTAAAATATCAGATGATTGTAGTTACTATAAACATTTGCTAAAACACATTTAAACAGTGAAAAACATCATAAGTCAATTATTTTAATTTTTATGAAATATCATACCTTAATTGTGAGAAGAGGTAGGAAAAGCCAATTCCGAGTTTTGGCCCTTGTTTAGTTTATCTGTTTCAAAACATGCATTGCTTGTTTGTAGTTCTTTTTCTAAGCAGACTTTGTAATGCAACTCAAATCTATTCTTGTGTCTGTTTACTTTATTTCATTTTTTGTTAAACTGTTTAGAAAATAATTTAATAAGTCTATTTCAGAGATCCCTGTAACTTTTTAACCATCAGGGCCGGTAACTGATTTGATTAAGTTGTTTTCCGAAGCATGAAACATTTTTTGAGTAATTTCTTTATTTTTCATAGTGATTGGTAGAAGAAATATTCAAGTTAAAAATATAATTATTGTTTTTTTAAAGTTTTTTATTAGGATTCGTATTTTACATAATTAAAAACATTATTGACAATTAGCTGAAATAAGTTTAAGTTCATAAATAAAAAAAACCACATTGCTTAATAAAGTGGAATAGCATTATATTTTAATGTTTTTTGTAGTTTCCATAATTGCAATTAATTATTTAGAGTTCATACTTAATAACATTGTGTTTTAAATGACAAATGAGTTGTTGTTTAAAACCTGCTAAACTTTAATTGGCGCAACTTTGCACAATAAATTTTTAATGAGAAACCTTCTACAATATTAAGATACTGTAAAAAAGTCAATCCCATAATGGGGAAGCGTGGGCTAAAAATAATCTTGAACCGTTTATGGTAACTTTTTATGTTTTTTAATACTTTTAACTGCCATATTTAAAGTTAAAAAAAAAGTCCTAAAATACAAGATTATTTTTATTTGTTAAATTTTCTAAAATAAAGCATGTACCCTGATATTGAGATTATAAAATTTTAATTATATTTAAAAAAACTGGGCTTACAAGATGAAATTTAATTTTACGAGTATTTTTTCTTTTCATTTTTTTTTTTTTTTAATTTGAAAGTTTAAAAACTTTCCCTTGACTCCTAAAACAAAAATTAAAATATTTAAACCACTGATTTTTTTATTGTGGGGTATTTACTTTTAAAATACTGCAAAAAAAAAGAAGTTCACAAATACCCATTTTTGGCATTTATGCTGATCTCTGGCCCACTGTACAGTGTTGAGAAAATTTTTGTTTTTTTAAGTCTTAAAAGTTTTTTTAACCATTAAGTTGGTCCATCATACCATAAATGTTTTTAACCATTAAGTCGGTCCATCATACCATAAATGTTTTTGTGAACAACTTTAAAGTATTAGTTTAAAGTTTGTTTACAAAAAGTTAAAGTTTAGTTGTTTACAAAATTTTAAAGTTGTTTGCAAAATATCAAAATTATTTAATATTGTTACTTTAAAATTTGCTTTAAAAAATTCCAGAATGAAGTTCAAAAACCGCAGTTTAAAAACAACAGAAGAAAAAAGTGTAGCCTGCTATCCTATTGATCTTTTTGACAATTTGCTTGATCTTGGGAAGAAGCAACTTAAATTTTGCTTTTGCAAATTTGCAGATCTGCCTGATCTTGGGAAAAAGCAACTTGAGTTTTATGTGCTCGAGAAATAGTTTTAGTTTTGTGAGAAATAGTTTTAATTTTGTAAGGTACAAAGTTTGATTTTTTTTTAATGGGTTTGCTTCTCTCCTGAACCATTGTTTGCTCTAAAAGCTGCAGCAACTTTTTTATTGCTTTATAAAAGTAGAGCTGTGGTGCAATGTTGTTTACAAATAATTAAATTAATAAGGTCTGTAGCCTGGTCAATAAATATTGCCAACATTCCTGGCAGTTTAAAAAAAAATATTTTTCAGAATTAGAAACTTTGAAACCATTTTTTCTCCGGAAAACAATAAAATTGAAATCGCTAAAATTGTTGTTTTTGATGCTCATTTCTGATGCAATCTAAAATGAGTTTATGCACATTTAAAAGTATATAGTTATTACTTTTAATTTCTGATAAGTTTTGTTGGAATATTTTAGATTCTATATTAGATTATATTATATAGTTTAATTAAAGTGTAAACAGAAATTTAGATAAATACAGATGTTAGTATAATGGTAAAATGATTAGCTAGTTTTTTTTTCAAGTTTTTTAAAAAAATACTATAATAAGTTAATGCAGTAATATTTATAACATGATTATGGATATACCAGAATTCCATTTTTTTGTTGTTGTGACTTTTAGGTCAATCCAGATTTGGCCAGAATTATAATATTTCCGGTCGGAGTTCCGGAATTTCTTTTTTACCTTTTTTTTTGAGACATGTGACACAGGCTGTTTAAAAAAATCCTTGTCCTACAAGGCAATGAAGAACTACAAGTAAACTTAGGTAAAAAATATAAACTTCTTAACAAACACAATGTATTTTTATTTGCAGTAATCAACTATGTAAGGATTTCTAGAAGTTTAGGAATATTGTGGTGCAAAAAGAGTTGCTATCCAGTTTTTGGCTATAAACTAGGTCTTTTTTCATCAAAACTGTTACCTGCCTCTGAGAATAGTCTCATTTTAAGAGTTACTTAAATTTTAAATAATTAAAAAGTATACGATGCCTAATACAGTAAATATTTTAATTTTAACCTTCGTGGAAAAATAGAAAACAAAGAAATAATTTTGAATATAAATATTAGTGATGTACCGATGGCAAAGACCAGTTAAGACTAATAATTGGTTTAATGTATGTACATAAATGTATTATCAAAATATTAGGTATGCAATTTGCATATGTAAGGTGCGCCTATGCACCAGTTTGGTTTGGCTTATTAGCCAATGTCAATGCATCCGCCAGTGCGAATTAATTAACAGTTAATCAGCCATTGGCTGATTAATTGGCTAATGGTTAAGCCTATTAATTTGTTGCTGGTTACCAATAGCATAGGCTGATAGGTCATTCTTAACATTCTTACATTCTTAATATTATTATAATACCCTTATATAAATACACTAACCATGATTAACCAATATTGTTTCTGCTCTCTTATATAATCTTTTTATTCTGATTGTAATTATTCAAAATCTTTTAGATGGGTACTCTAAATAAGTGCAACTATATTGCATAGCAGGGCTGCATAGAAATTTATAAAAGAAATATTTAGAAACCACAATATTTTGTCAAAAAAAAAAAAACGCTTGTATGAAAGTTACATTAAATGTAATTTTCAGTTATTATTGAATTTTATTATTAATAGAGATGCAATATGTAAATGCATAAAAATACATTTGAACAAAACACAGTGTGTTTTGTTCAAAAGTAAAAAAACCTCATGTAGATTTTTTACATTTGAACAAAACACACAGTGCAATTATCTGTAAGTGTAAAGGTCAGTACTACTGACAGTAGATAAGTTGAGTTTGCGGATTGTAATTTAAGTATTGTGTATGTTTAATAGAAGAAAACTTTAAAATTTTTTTTTTTACAATCAAGTCTTTTAGCTTAACTGTTTTGTTTTGAAATTTTGTATTTATGTTAATGTATTTTAAAAAAATCAGCAAGATTAAAAAACAACAAAAAAAAGTTTTTTAATTTTGTTTTATATTAAAAAAATATCCATGTTAAATTTAACATTAAAATTAAAAAGATGTTAAATTCAGACTTTTCTTTGAAATAAATAAACTGGGTATGTTTTCTAATAAGCTCCAAGCAATTATGCAAAAAAAGTGCGCATATTAATTTTTTTTGCTCTAAATACAATATTTAAATGAATTTTTTTTCCTATCATTTACTAAAAAAACATTGAAGTAAATAATAAGTATAGAAATAGAGTTTGCTAGAGGATAGATAGATAAAGGATAGATAAATAGCTGAATTAGTATAGAAATAGAGGTTAGTGTGAACAAACTCACCTAGATCACTATTTTATGCGTCCGGACAACTAATATATATATATATATACAGGGGCTAATCTAGACCGTTTTTAATAGTGTCAACTGTATTTGGGTGCTGATTTAGGTGCTGTCCAAATTAAAATTTGAGGACCTGTTTTTTTGTTTTTTTCACAATTTTTTATGTTTTACGGCAAATATTGTTTTTTTGCGAAAAAAACACTGATTTTCTGCTAAAGTTTGCCAAAACAAGGGGGTACCGCCGCCCAAGTATTTTTGCTAGAATAGGCCCTGATATATATATATATATATATATATATATATATATATTATATATATATATATATATATATATATATATATATATATATATATATATATATATATATATATATATATATATATATATATATATATATATACTGATTTGCATTTTCTTATTAATTGGTCTAGGTTACCAATGATGCTTTTCCTGAAGTGGAACAAACTTTAAATATTCAAACTGATGAAGATAATGAAGATCTAATCAGTATGTCTTTTAATGTATAAGTTTTTTTCTGTATACTATTTTTCTTCATAAATACTCTTACTTGTATTATTAGATATTTGTTTATAAGTCTTTAAAAGTCTTTAATTAAATACATAGTTTATTTTTTTAAAAAGTATTATATCAATAAGGTGGCAAAAGTTTTAGCTGTAATAAAAATGGTATATAAAATATATGCCAGCATTTAATAAATAGTAAATATAAGTATAAAATTATAATACAAAAAGTATTATAATTTTTTTTCAGAAGCAGGGCTGGTCATTTTCTAATCTGGGTCTAAGCTGGTCTTACTATGATCTCACGTTGTGCAGGTCTAGCTTTAAAACCTATATTACATTAAAACAAGAAGTTTTACATAATCATATTCTTACCAAAACTTTTTAATTTTTCATGTGTTAACTTAATTGTTATTTCCTAGTCAAAAAATATAATCTTTGTCAGCTTTTTTACTATAAAATATTTCTTTAAAAATGAAAAATTTTGAGCAACTGCAGAGAAGTGGTAGGTGGTCTAAACAAAAAAAACGAATGTAAGAATATAAACAATTAGTAACAGTTTTATATTATTAGATTTTTTTTTTTATATAAAATTTTCACAAATCTGGAATTAATGCCACATCACTGTGTTAAGCTGTTATTTTGTTTAAAGTGTTCAGCAAAATGTTCTACAAATACTATAATGGGCACTGCTCGAAATACTATAATGGGCACTGCTCGAATAAGCTAGTGTCTCTTGTGCCATCTACTAAAATTCATTCTTGTGTTACTCGTCATTCAATTAAGTCTCATCCTTTTTCTGTTATTGTTCCTAAGTGCTCCAAAAACTCTTATTCGTCTAGTTTTTTTCCTCAAACATCAGTTCTTTGGAATTCGCTTCCTTCATCTTGCTTTCCTGATTCATATAATTTGCAATCAAGTCGTCTGTCAATCGTTATCTTGCTCTACAATCTTCATCTTTTCTCTTCCAGTAACTTCCAACACTAATTAGTGGTTGCTTGCAGCCTTATTGGAAGTAAAGATAATTAAAAGAAAAAAAAAGCTAATTTTTGTGGTCATTTTTCGATAAAATAAAGAAATTAAGCCTCCTTTCATTTTGTAATTATTTTTGTAAATAAAAGTGACATTATTTTATGTTTAAATTTTTTAACACAGGTTTCATAAAACTATGAAACCTGTGTTAAAAAGTTTAACATCAAATATTTTTTAAAAAGTGTTTATTTTGCAATGCAGCAATCCAAAAAAAAATCTTTAATCGTAATTTTAAAAAAGAAAGAAAGTTTATTGTTTTAACAAGCAAACCAAATGGAAAGACTTTGCTAACAATGAACATTTACTAACCACAAATTGTGTATCAATATGTATCAATATATTTAATAATATGATTTCAATCTATATAATCTAAATGGGGACATAAAACATATTTCTTCTGAGCTTGATGTTTTAAACTTATTTTTTGAACAAAAGCAAAAAAAAAAAATCCTATATAATATTGTAGAAGTTCTTTAAAAAGTTCCATTAAAATTGTCAAAAACTACAGTGCAAAATTTTAACAAAAAAGTTTAACTAAAAATTTTCTTAGCAAAGTATATTGCGTATAGAATTTTTTGTTTTTAGTATATATTGCTGTTCTTTTTTTTGAAGTTTTAATTTATTTAATAAGTTTTTTAATTTTATGTATCATTATTTTATATAATTTCTTTTTTGCTTTTTAGCTCATGTTAGTGCATACATAATATACATACATATGTTTTTGTCTAAAAATGCTGCCAATGCATATATATAATATCAAGCTAAAATAAAAATGCTTCCAATGTTATACAATATCAGCCTAAAATAAAAATGCTGCTAATGTCAATATAAAGCCTATAATGTCAATAAAGCCTAAAATAAAAATGCTGCTAATGCCAAAAATTTAAAACCTAAAAAACCATCCCCACCACCTAAATATTTTAATATATCTTTTACAAATATTCGCGGTCTACGAAGCAACTATCCATCAGTTAAGTCTTACCTCCTGCAAAATTCACCAGTATTGCTTGCACTCAGTGAAACAAATTTAAATTCTGCAATTCCTTCTTCAGATGTCAGTGTTGATGGGTACTATCCTTTGATTTGTAAAGACTCCAATAGTCACATGCTAGGTTTAGGGGTATACATACGCATTAATTCCCCTATATGTCGTGAAATCAGGTTCGAATCTTTTGACCATTCTTTTATGTGCTTTCGCCTAGCACCTCTTCACTCTATCACCTTTCTCTTTGTTTTTTATCATTCTCCTTCTTCCCATGATTGCACTCTTTTAGATGTTATATCTCTGATCAAATTGACCATGCCCTCTCTCTTTACCCCTCTGCCAATATTGTTGTTGTTGGTGATTTTAATGCCCATCACACTGAATGGCTTGGCTCTAACACCACTGATCCTGCTGGCACTAAAGCCTTTAACTTCTGCGTTTCTCAATCTCTTACTCAGATAGTTAACTTTGTGACTCGTTTTCCTGACAACCCTAATCATTTACCTTCACTCCTTGACTTATGTCTTGTCTCTGACCCTAGCTTATGTTCAGTTTCTCCCTTTTCTCCCTTAGATGGTTCTGACCATGCAATGATCTCTATAAATCTTTCTTCTCGTACTTCTTTTTTGGGCTCATCTTATCATCGCACCACCTACTACTACCCTAAAGCTGACTGGGATTCCTTTCGTGATTTTCTTCGTGATGGTCCTTGGGCTGATGTTTCTCTCTCAGCTGACAAATGCGCCTCCTACGTAATCTCCTGGATTCAGGCTGGAATGGAAGCTTTTATTCCTTCTCGTCAGTTTCAAGCAAGCCTCATTCTACTCCATGGTTTTCTCTTTCTTGTGCGACTGCTATATCCAATCATAATCATTTTTTTCATCTTTTTTAAAAGAATAACTCTCTTGAGAACAAACGGCTATTTATTATTGCAAGAAATCGATGTAAAAAGGTGCTTTCTGATGCTAAACTCCATTATTCTCAGTTCACTAAATCTCGCAGAATTTAGGCTCTAAAGACTTTAAATTGGAAAATCTTCAACAGCATTATTAACAAGGGTAGATCTAACATTCCATCTCTCATTCATGGGACTGATCTTATTACCTCTCCCAAGGATAAGGCAGAATTATTTGCAAAGAACTTTTCTTCTAATTCCACTCTTGAATCTTATGGACATTCTCTTCCTTCCATTCCAGTCAAACAGATTAACCCATTGTTAGACATTCAAATCACTCCGGCTTCTGTTGCTTAAGTCATATCTCAATTAAACTCGTCTACAGCTTGTGGTCCAGACAACATTCCTGTCACAGTCTTGCAGAATTGTTCTCTAGAACTTTCTTCAAGTCTCGTTTTCTCAATGCTTGTTGGAAAATGGCATCTGTGGTTCCAATATTCAAAAACTCTGGAGAAAATTCTGACCCTTCCAATTATTGTCCGATCAGTCTTCTTTCTGTTATTAGCAAGGTCTTTGAGTCTTTGATCAACAAATTCCTCACATCTCATCTTGAGTCAAATAAACTACTGTCAGACAATCAATATGATTTTCGATCCTCTCGCTCTACGGCTGACTTGCTAACTGCTGTAACTGAAAGATTTTATCGTGCATTAGATGGAGGCGATGAGGCTAGGGCTATTGCTCTCAACATATCTAAAGCTTTCGACAAAGTTTGGCATGCTGGTCTTCTCCATAAGCTTGCTTCATATGGTGTTTCTGGGAAAGTTTTTGAGATTATCAAATCATTTCTTTCCAACCGGTTTATTAAAGTCATCCTTGAAGGCCAACACTCTTCTTTATTTCCAGTAACTTCTGGGGCTCCCCGAGGTTCCATCCTGGGCCCTGTTTTGTTTCTTATCTACATAAATGATCTTCCTGACAACCTTTCAGCTAAAGTAGCTCTTTTTGCTGATGACTCAACTTTATACTCCTGTCTTGACAAAAAGTCTTCTCTTTTCGATCGCCTAGAACAAGCAGCTGATCTTGAATCCGATCTCACTTAATTAATAGATTGGGGTTTGCAGTGGCTTGTGAATTTCAACTCTAACAAAACCCAGTTGTTTACTGCAAACAACTACTGTAATATGGTCAACATTCCTATATTAATGAATGGCAATCCTCTTACTGAGTCGTCCTCTTTACGTCTTCTTGGATTATCGCTTACTACTGACTTTTCATGGAAACCATATATACAATTAATTGCTAAATTAGCTTCTGCTAAGGTTGCTTCTCTTTATCGTGCTCGCCATTTCCTTACTTCTGATTCCATTCTCTACCTCTACAAATCTCTTATTCGTCCCTGTATGGAATACTGTTGTCATATTTGGGCTAGTTCTTCTAATGAACCAGCCTAAATATGACAACAGTATTTAGGTTGGTTAAACTCTAAACCTCTTCTTGACAAGGTCCAAAAACGCATTGTAAATGTTGTTGGACCTGGACTATCTGCTAAGCTTGAACCTCTTTCCCATCGTCGTAAAGTTGCATCTCTTTCTCTTTTCTACAAATACTATCATGGTCACTGCTCAAGTTTCATTCCTTTACTGTATCTGTCCCTGCATGCTCTAAAAACTTTTATTCATCAAGTTTTTTTTCCTGCACTTCAATCCTTTGGAACTCTCTCCCATCTTCATGTTTTCCTGACTCATACAACCTTCAACTTTTCAAGTCTTCTGTCAACCGTTTCCTTGCTCTATAACTCTCTTCTTTTTTTTTTCCTTGTAACTCCCAACTTAATAGTGGTTGCTTCCAGCCTTGTTGGGAGTGAATGCAAATAAAAAATAAATAAAAAAAAAAAAGTTATATAATATCAACCTAAAATAATTCTAATATTTAATTGTATAATTATGATTCAGTTTACAATATATAATATAATTTGATATTCAGTTTACTTAAGTTTTTTTATATTTTGTTTTTTTATTTATTTATATAAAACATTTGAAAAAACATTTTTTTTAGTTTTAGTTTTTGCTTAAATTTAATTGCTAGTTAAGTTTTGTTTTGTCTACTTTGTTTTTTATGTCTTCTTCCATATTTTGAAAGTGAATGAACTATCAAAGAACTCAATGATTTTCAATGATTAAAAGAAAACTTATTTTTAAATGCAAATTTTTAAATATATATAATCTATAAAAAATATTTCAAAAGAAAAAAACAAAAAAAAGCTATCATTAATATGTTTTTTTTATATTTATCATTACAGTTTTGTTAGAATATTTGTATTATGTATATTTGTAACTTATTTTCTTTTGTTTTTTAACTAAAAAAATATGTTTAATAAACTAAAATGTATATATTTTTTAAATTTATTTTAGGTAATCATTCAAATAATGAAGTTTACTTATATGAAATAACTGAAAAAGTTGAAATGGTGATTATTTGACTAATTCAATTTCTTTAAAAACATCTTTTAATTATTTTGACATTTTTGTTAAAATTTTAAATTTAAGTTAAAATTATGTAGCATACTCTAGCTACCTTATTCAAAATGTAATAACTCAAATGTCCTTCTAAATCTTATAAGAATTTGAAAACATAAAAATTTTCCCATATGGCACCCATTAAATTAAAACACATAAGTTAAAAAATTGTTTATAGTTGTTCAAGTTTTTTCTTTTTTTTTGGTTCAATAATAATAACAATCGCTTTTTTGTTAAAAGTTACCGAAACTCAACGAAGCAAGCTCAAGAACAGTTGCTGAAAAATAGAACGTCAATAGTTTTTCGAATAACTTTTAATAATAATTTTTAAGAATAATTTTTTCGCTGAAATATGTCTTTTATACCTATAAGATTTTTATTCTAACATTTTATTTTATTTTACCAAAAATAAAATTCCTTGTAAACATTAAAAATCTATTCAAAACGTTCATTAAAGTTTTTTAGTAATACGAGTGATTTTGCTTATCAACCGCTTTATGAAAATAAATAAAAATAAATAAATAAATAAATCTAATAATATGAATACGCTAATTTAATATTAGTTGAGTTACGTCATTTTCTAGGCTTTTCTATATTTAAGTAGTTTCTAGGCTTTTCTATACGCGTTTTTTTTTTTTAATTTTATTTACTAACAACGCGTATTACAGGTTGCTTACTGCTAGTATTATATAAAATCGCTAGTAAAAATATTAGCTATTAAATATATTAGCATATTTTATAATCTTTTTTAAATATTTAGTTATAATGTTTTTTATTTGTTAAGTATAGACAAAACGTGTCAAACGTCGAGAAAATAAGCAAATGTTTTTACGTTTTAAAAAACGAAACATTTCAAAACATTTTTAAATAATAACATTTCTACATTAATGATTTAAAGTAGTTTTGCGGTAATTAAGTAAATTGGTGCAGTTAATGTCGATAAATATGAAAATCAAATAAAAAGAATTTAATGACGTCAAAAATCACGGCGTGCTTATGCATCGCGCAGTTTTTATTCATCACAAGCCCTATATATATATATATATATATATATATATATATATATATATATATATTGTCATTTAATTGTATCAATTTTGTTATTTTCTAATTATTATGAATTTTGCATCATAGTTTGTTTTTTTCAGGGGCAACTTGCAAGATTTTTCTTCAATAAAGGTAATTCAACTTTACTAAGAAAAAATTTTATGTTTTTTGGCTTCATGTTGAGTTATTTTATTTAAATGTTATATATATATATATATATATATATATATATATATATATATATATATATATATATATATATATATATATATATATATATATATATATATATATATATTAGGGTTATTAAAAATAGGTCATGTCAAAATTTTGATAAGAGCCCTAGCTTTTGATCTGCCCTGACCACAAATTAGTAACTAAAATTTTTTACAAAAATTGATGAAAAATTTTGAGCATCGGAAAGGTCCCCGCAGAGGGCAAAAGGGTCAATTTTTGCCCTTTTTTTAGGAAAATTTTTCCCTGCTTGTGGGACCCTTAAATTTCAACCATTTAAAAAATTGAAATGTCTAATAACATGGTAATGAGTTCTTCTACTTAAGTTTTAGGGGCTCTTTTCATAATTATTTATTTAGGTAACTTTAAGAGCGATAAAAAAAACAACATTGAAAATCATCAAAATAATACAATATTTGTTTAAAAAGAATCAATGTTACGTTTTTTTTATAAACAATAAAAAGTAATAGTACCAGTTCAAAATAAAAATAAAAAGTTTGCAATCGTTTCAAAACAAATTGAATCAAAAAGTTGATATTAAATAATACTATTCAGTGCAGCTTTGACATGATCCAAATTTTTTCTTCCATTTCGATTTCTCTTGTACACATGAGTAAAAAGAAATGTATCTTGTCTTTTCTCTTCGGAATGTACTTTGTTAACAAGTTGTTGAACTAACTTGATTGTTTTCTTTGAATAATCATTCACAACATCAAGATTCAAAACGGCTGTTTCAAAATCTTAATAAAAATCATTTAAAATCCAATACTCTGGAGGAAACTTCATTCATTGAATCTCAGCTTTTCCATGACCAAGCATGTCAAGCACAAACCATGACTTCTCTGTAATTAGTTGAACTAAACTGGGAGGCTCATCCTGTGAAAAGTTTAGACTCATTAGAGTGTCTTTTTTCAACACCTGTCTTTCTAAGGAATATTCTTCAATGGACCTTGTTTCAGACTAATAAGTCTCTTAGCCATGTAACCACATTCTTGACATTTCTCATCTGCAATTGCTAAAATGACTAAATATGGATCAAGGTACCAAGTATGTTGTTGTGTGGATTTAAAAACAGCTTGAGCGCCAGCTTTATTCCATTCCTCAAATCTTTTTATTTGCCATAACGCTTTCATGTCCTAATAGTTAAAGCTTAGATTTATCAATGTTTAACTTATAAAAATAATATACCTATTTTATGCAATTATTCAAAATTATATATTTATTTTCAAACTACTATTCAGATAGTGTACCTGTGTCGAAGCAGCTGAACTTAACTCAGCTCTGAAAAATCACTCAGTGTAAAAAATAGAAAGAAACTTGTCATTTCTGTGATTTCATCCCTGCTCTCTTGGTTTCCGGAATTTTTTTCATGAGTAGAAATAGTTTTAAGTAAATAAACTTTTACCCATAAATCTGGCATAATGAACAATTCCTGGATTGTGGAGTTTGAATCTGTCGGTGGGTGATAGTAAGTTCAGCTGAATCTTGATAATCTTTACGATACTTTCCGTCCTAAATAATATTTATTAACAATAACAATTAATGATAACTTAAATAATTTAAAACAAAATTAAAGTTCAGATAAAATTAGAAAATTATAAGTGAAGTACTATTTTACTCTATTATTTTTTTGAAATTGTAAAAAAATAATTAGATTTAATTGAATTATTTATAAAGATTTCAATAAAACTATTTATTACTCTCACCTTTTTAAAAAGATTTTTCTAGATCATTCCAATGATTTTTAAAAACTTAAGTATCTAGATCATTCCAATGGTTTTTAAAAACTTAAGTATCTAGATCATTTCAATGGTTTTTAAAAACTTAAGTATCTAGATCATTCCAATGGTTTTTAAAAACTTAAGTATCTAGATCATTCCAATGGTTTTTAAGAAATTGAAGTATAACTACATGGATAAAGCTCCCAAAAATGGGTAACATCTGGTTATAATTAAAATCTTGATTAATGTCCACATTCATTTGTTGATAGTTAATGTTAAATATTAAATACTTTCATCAAAAGCTTATATTGAATGTCTATATTCAAATATATTTTGAAATCGGTAAAGTGTAATTTGCAAAGTCAAATGTAACATAAACCAGAAATAAATATGTTTTATTTTGATATTAAAAGATTATAAAAACTTTAATTAACCAATAAAAAATTACATAAAATTTTTATTTATTTTATACTTTATTTACCTTTTTTTTCATTTTAAGTTTAACTTTTACTAATTATTTTTTTGTTAATTGTTGTTTATTATTAACTTTTATTTATTATTATTTTTTATTTTACAAAATACTTAATGAAGTGACTTGAATAAAATAAACAAAAAATATACGTGGCTCACAAATATGATGTCAACATGCAGTTAACAACATAGGGTGCTGTAAGCGCAGAATTATTTTGTTACAAGTTCCTTTTATTTTACCTGTGTTAGTACTAATGGTATCAAAGCAAATACACTGAACTTTATCATCTTTTCCAAAGTTAAAAATGAGTTCTTCTATAGCTGCTTTTTGGTGTTCTCCAGAACCAGAGTCAATAGCTGGAACTCCAAGTAACTTGGTTTGTCCTTTAATCCTAGCGAGAACAGCTAACCTATCTTTTGAAAACTGTTTTCCTTCAGTAAGTTCTTTGACAATTTTTCCATCAAAATGAATTGTTATTAGAGAATTTGAAGATCCTCCAGAATTGACTATAATACTGCTAAGAATTGTTGTGTGTTGATGTGGAGTTGAACTCTTTCCAACTGCTGTGTGAGCAGTACGGTGCAAGATATCCTTGGGTAGGTTGACAGAACTAGGATCAATGTGTCTCAATTTCAAAATCACTATCAGTTGAAATACTTTTACTGGTATTAAGAGAATTTGATGAAGTTTCAGAATCTGCATCAGATACATTGTCTAACTTACTATAATTACATTTAGATTTATGCTTTCTTTTTATTGAGTACTGAAATCTTTTATCCAAACCCCCTAACCTTGCTTTCCTTTCCTTTAACTGGTTTTAAGGAAAGCTATGTCTTCCTCTTTGTCATTTTGGTTTCACAATCTATCTTTCCTTATTTTTTCAATCATTTATTGGGTTTTCTCCAAACCAGAAAACCTTTTTCATATTTTCAATAGAGTTTTTTCTCTTTTTCACTTCAGCAGGGTTGTTTCTTTTACTTAAGCTTTTCAGCTTAATCCAGTTATTCGCCATTTTTTCTATCTTTATCCTATAAAATGAAGTTATTATTATTTAAGTGTTTAAAAAAACTTGAAAATATATTTTGTTCTTTTTATAAGGTATAAAGTTTGATCTATTATTACCTTAACTTCTGGGTTGTAATGACTTTAATGCATGTGTCCACGCAACAACAAGCTTAGATATTATGCAGTAATGCAACTGACTAATAAGACAGTTTGGTGAGAATAATCCACTTTTGTTTGGGCATCCAACAATAAAACTCAGTTTAACTTCAGATCTAGATTTCCTCAGTTGTAGTACTGAAGAATTTCTTGTATATTAACAAACTTGTTGTTGGGAATAGTACAATTTATTTTTCCCACAAGGAAAGTTTCATCAATTTTTTTAATTTTCTTGGTTGGCATCTTAAAAATTGTTATTATTTTATGTTGATCTAAAATTAAATGTTTAAGTATTTGTAGATAAATGAATCATAAATTTAAATTTTAATTTTGAAAACAATTTTTCTCTCAACTTTATTTAAAATCTTTTTTATTCTTTACACAAATCAAACTTTGTCAAAAAAATTATCTTTTCGAATATAAAATTATTTAAAAAAACCTAAAACATAAGATATTTTGATACTAAAAACCCACTTTTTATTAAAAATAAGCAAATACCTAAATAAGAATTAAAAAAAAGAGCTCTTTAAACTTAAGTATTAGAACTTATTACCATGTTAATGGATAAGTTATTTTTTAAATTGGTTGAGATTTAAGGGTCTCACAAGCGGGACAAAAAAGGGGCAAAATTTGACCCTTTTGCCCTTTATGGGGACCTTTCTGATGCTCAAAAAAATTTTGTAAAAAATTTTAAGTATTAATTTCTGGTCAGGGCAGATCATAAACTAGGACTCTTATTAAAAGTTTGACATCATTAAACTATTTTTGAAAAACCCTAATATATATATATATATATATATATATATATATATATATATATATATATATTGAAAATTATATATATATATATCTAGAAATTCAAACTAATCTTGAGTTATTTACTGTTTGATTTTGTGATAAAAAGTTCAGAACTTTATTTTCAAAGTATTTGACTTGATTTCAATGTTGGGTTCTCTCTAGCTTACCTTTAATAATAAAATATATTTAAGTATAAATTGTTTAGTCTTCCTGCTTTATATTTTCTACTGTCTATAAAGAATTCGTATGCATTTATTCTTTCTTTTTTTTTAATCAAAAAATTTAGCCCAAGCTTTTTTTTTTTTTCTTTTTTTTTTCTGAGAATGTGCATATAAAATGAACAAAAACAATAAGTTTATCATGCCTAAGACTTGTAAATTAAATATAATTATATGTATTAAAAAGTAACAAAAAAAGAATAAAACAAATATATTATTTCATGCAATAGGTATGGTGTAATACATCTGGACATGATTTATGCATGTATATACCTTTTATTTTTTTTATATTTCTTATAATAAAACTTAATATAGTTGTTTTTTTATAGTTGGTTTGGTGCTGTATTACATAGTTATTGCATTGTACCTTTATGGAGATCTTGCTATATATGCTGCAGCTGTACCTAAATCTCTGACAACAGTTATTTGGTATATACTTTTTAAAATCTTATTTTATATTAAATTTTAAGTTTATTTAAAACTGAAAGAAATATGTAATTCAAGATAAAATTAATCCCATTAACAAAATTATAGGAAGTTATATTTTTCATCATCTTGGATTGACATGACTTAGGATTAAGAATAATCTTGAATTGACATCTATTTAGATTGTTGTTATATTTCATTGATACTCTCTTGAGTTGACATCATGGGTTAAGATTTTTATGGTTTAACTGTTTTAAAATAAAAAAAGCAAGTAAACAAATGTTCATCAACCATTGTTGACCAATTTAAAGATACAATCTATAGATATAATGAAACAAGATTATTTATACTAACCTATAAAAAGTTTTAATTAATTTTAATATTAAGTTTTTGCAACAGTTACTGGTAAAGTAAGAATGATTTGTAATGTAATAACTAGATTGGGATAAGTTTCTTGCAGCTCTTTTTTGTAGATGTAGTTTAGGAAGTCATGTGCAGATTTTAGGAGAGTGTTTTTTTTTTTTTTTTTTCTGTATCTCTCAGTTTGCAAATCCTCAGAATCTTTATCGCCAAGCTTCATTTGCAAACTTTTGCTATATAAAGACAGAGAATTTTCATTACAGGCTTTGATAAGACTCTCAGATTGGTAAAGAAAGTCATAAAACTTTGTGACAATGCTGATCTGTTCAAAATGCTCTTTTACTGATGCAATGGACATATCAATTAGTGGCAAAAAGAAATCTTCTTTATACTGATGATCAGGTTGCCGAGTGTGATCAACACACTCGTATGAATATAACGAAATTTTTTTTTCCTAATCCATTATCATAAAAATCATTTCAATTCCCAATACTTCTTCGATTTCTGATGCCTTAATATGTGCGTCGTAAAAATCTATTTTTGCGATACTTATAAAGAAATGCATTTGTTGTCTTTATTTCACTAGCTAATATGTCGAAAGAGGTTGCAGAAAATAGACGAAACTTGCTTGATTTGTTGATTTGAAATAAAGTATTATATCAAATAATGATTGATAATAAGAAAGGCCATGCTCTTATATACTCCGTCAGCGATCGTACTTCTGTGGCTGTTGCCCCATCTTTCTTTTCTAAGGCATGTTCTTCCAATCTGTTGAGTGCCTCTAAGATTTCTTTTAAATATTAGCGAAGTGGTTTAACAGATTATTCTACTTTCCCATCTGGTATCTTATTTTGGTTTGATTGAAATTGCCACGCACGATTTTAAAATTTCCCATCGAGAAAGAAGCAATGAAAAGAGTGTATATAACCTTGAAAGAACACCAAAAAAAGAAATGACACTGATGGATGACAGTGCACCATCAACAATAACAAGATTGACCGAATGGTTTGCACAAGGAACATATAAAGCTTTAAGATTCATTTCCAGAAACCTAGCTTGAACACCTTTTACTTTTACTTTCATGTTAACACCATTATGATTAGATTGAACTCGGCAGTCTAAAATATTTAGATCCCAATTTTTTGCCTGTTCTAAAATTGCATCCAAAAGCCCTTTTCCAGTAGTATCATTTACTGTGACATATCCAAAAAAAAATTTCAGTAATGTTGGTACCTACTCAAGGAGTACATGTTACTGATCCCAGAATAATGCTCATTTGTTCTTTGTGCATATATGTATAATACAGGCCTTGTTTTAAATAAAAAAGTGCTTAATGCATTAGCTTAACGCGATTTTGACGTCATAAAATTATCTTTATTTTTTTTTTATAGGCGTTAAGTGTTTTAACTACCGCAATAAATAAATAACCGCAAACTAATTCAATTTAACAATTAACTCAAATATAAACTATAAACGTTTTAAATATAAATTTATTATGAAAATTTTGTAATGTTTTCAATTGTTATTTTATTATTAATTTTAGTTCAATATTATTTAGTAAAAAAAAAAATATATATATATATATTAATTATTTCTGAAATTTGTTTTTGAATAATTGTTTTTAATCGTTATTGAATAAAAAATAATAATGATTTTTTTTATTTTTAAAAATTTCTAGAGTAAACAAAAAATATTAACATTGATAAACACAAACCCATGTTATTATATAAACAACGATTTTGTTTTGACTAGCAAAGAAAAATTTAAGTTTTTAAATATTTTTTAAATTTTTAAAAGCGTTTCAACTTGCGTTTTATAAAAATATAAAAAAGTTTTGTCTGCTTTGAAGCGTATTTTTGATACGTAGTTTAGAACGCGTTCGCTAGGAATTTAATTCATAAACTTTTTATGTTATTGTAAAAATATTTAACTTTTTAAACAAATCACAAAGAAACAGAGCTATAGAGAAAAATCGTTTTTAACGATTAAATCTTTTTTTTTTTTAATTTTAGGAAATTAAAAAAAAAATTAAATTAAATATGAAAGTCTTAATTATGCAAACTCTTTTATTAATTATTCTTAAAACAAAAAAACAAATACTTGTACGCCAAACTTTAATCGTGCAAACTTATAAAAATACTCAACTGAAATAATTTAAGTATATTTAATAATTTGAATCGTATCTGTTTATAATAAACGTTCGTAAAAATTTGTTTATTAAAAATTAAGTTCCTTAACTTATTAACAAACTCAAAAGTATTTTCATTCTACGTATAATTACGAAACTCTTTTTTTTTTTCGTTTGTAAGCAATTTAACTTAATAAAATAAAAAAAAGAATAAATATGAGGTAATCTTTGTTAAGAATAAATTTAATTTATTTATTGAACTATATTTTTATTTTTAATTATATATCAACTTAATTAAAATATAGTAACATGTTAAAATATTTTAACATGACTTGTATTATTTATAAACCGTTGGGCAGTTGCCCTTACGGCACTATTGTTTTTGGATATAATTTTATTTTGATGAAGATCACATAACTTACATTTGATTTTAATAACGTAAGTCTTCTCTTTTTCTGTGATCATCGCATCGGCAAAGTCCAAAGATTTAAAAGTTTTTAAAGTAAATCTTTTGTCCTTCAAAATACAATCCATATTCGAACTTTAAATAATTTAGAGATAATAGAAATATACAAGGTTTTTATATACTAGTTTGTTTTGTTTTATAAAGAAAAATACATATTCATTAGTAAAAAATGGAGACTGTCATTAAACTAAAACGTGCCTTAGTATTTATTTAACGGAACCTGTAATGTGCGCGTGCATAATAAAACCTCCGTTATATAAATATATTCAACATAATATTAGTGTCATCAGCGGATGTTGTAGTCTACTCATGATTTCTTTACCTTATATTATAACTTGATTTATGACAAAAAAAACTTATTGAATCGCACGCAGAAGAATTTTAACAAATTGTCTTCATTCAAATATTGCGAGTAACAGGTAATTTTTTTTTCTGTGCCGACCCCCTCCCCTGCATAACTTAAACTATATACTAATAAACTAATAAGAAAAGCTATATACTATTAAACTAACTATAAGCTATATACTATTAAACTAATAAGAAAAGCAAAGACATTTTTTTTAACATCTCGAAAAAATGTCTTGATATTTTTGTTATCATGATAACAAAAATATTATGACATTTTTTGAGATTTTATTTAAAAAAATGTCAATTCTTAATTACAAATTTTTTTGCAAATGTTTTTTATTATAAATTCAGTAAAAAATTCATAAAAAATCTATATTACAAAAAACTTTTATATTCTGTATTAATAAATATGGAATATAGATTTTTTAAAAGTTTTTTACTAAAAACTTTACTACTTTTTATTAAAAACATTCCAAAAAATTTGTAGTTAAGGATTGACAAACAATTTTTCATGTTGCTAAATATTTGGATAAAAAGTTTAGAATCAAATTAATTGCTATAAAAAGGAAAGATATATCGCGATGAAAAGTTACAACAATTAATTTTAAAGTAATTATTTTTTTTAATAAATACCTTTACATATCGTTATTTAAAAGTTAATGTGGTTTTTTTGAAAATTAATTACTTCTTTTATGTTACCGCTAATTTAAAAGTTAAAAAATGATAAAAAGTAGCTTAACCAAAACAGCTCTACGCGTACGTAAACGCTTAAGGCGTACGTAAATCGCTCTAGGCGTAACGCTTTAAAACAAGGCCTGTATATATATATATATATATATATATATATATATATATATATATATATATATATATATATATATATATATATATATATATATATATATACACGCACACACACATTATATATTTTGAATTTTTGGTGCCCCTGTTTAAGAGTAAGTCTTTTAACTTACATTTAATGTTTATAATGTTTTTTGAAATTAAAGATGCATCATTAATTTGTATAAACTAGTCAACAATGAAAATAGTATAAAAATAAAAGATTTTTTCTAGCGGAGGAACTGTTAGTTTTAAAAAAGAAGATTTAAAAAATCCATGCAAAAATGCCAAGTCATTGAGTGTTGAAGACATGTACAGGATCATGTTGGTAATTTGATTTTTTATATATATATATAATTATAGATATAAAGATATAATTTTATATATATATATATATATATATATATATATATATATATATATATATATATATATATATATATATATATATATATATATATATATATATATATATATGATTTTTCTTTCATGTTGCAAGCTGATATATGTTCAATCTATGTATGTATTTTGTGGGATATCATCAAACAAGTGTTTAAAAACTTTGTTCTTCTGTTATCTAAGCAACTCATTTAATTTTTAAATGAAATTTCTGATATCAAAATTAAAATACTAAAATAAAAACATAATGATTTTTAGTCATTACGTTTTTATTTTAGTAACTGTTTTAATTTTTAAATAGAGTAAATAATTACAAAACTTTTTGTTAAACTTAATTGATAAAAACTTCACAAAAAATTCAAGTTCCATAAACTGTTTATCCAAAATAACCTAAAAGTTAGCTTTAACTGTCTTCCAAATATTCAAATATCCAAATATTCGCAACTTCATTACTCCACACAACAAAATTGTATCAAATACTTCTAATCTTAATTTGCCATTATATAATTGCCGGCAGATTGACATAATAAAAACATAATAAAATAACATAATAAAAAATGTTAAAGTAAAAATGCCATAAAAACATATTCATTTCAACAAGCCCTCCAGGAAAAGGTTTCTGTTATGTTGGACAGAAAAAACATTTAAAGATTATTTTTACAAACATAAAAATTCCTTCCATTCTAAAAATAAAGCTATTTCCACTGAATTTTCTAAATTTGCATAGGAAATTTAAAAAAAGGGTTTAAATCTTGTCCTTTTGTTGAAAATTCTAGATCTAGTTAAACTGTTTAAACCTTATGGTAAATCATACTATTTATGTTTGATGGAGAAATGTATAATTTTATCACCATTGGCTTTATTAAACAAGCAAAATTAACTTGTATTTTAGTGTTGTCATGAAATTTGCATAATCAAAATCATGATACATTTAATTGATATTTAAAATATATTATTAAAATAAAATTTATCAATTACAATAGTTGCTTATAGTAACCATGTGTAATTTACATTTTTTGTATATAGTAATATATATATATATATATATATATATATATATATATATATATATATATATATATATATATATATATATATATATATATATATATAAATTATATATATAAACTAAAATACTAAACTAAAAAGTCCTGTCAAGTTTGGAAAGAGTAAGTTCATTTTTTTGATTTGATTTAAGTTTATTAAAATAGAAGATAATTTTGTTTTTGTTGGGTTGAATTTGTGGGCTTTGGATTCAGTTTGAATCCAAAAAAAGTGTATCTTTTTTAGGAAAGTGGACCTTTTTTATTTTGTTTTATGTGTTAGTATATTTTATGTATTGATGGAGGAGTGGAATCTATAATAAGCATAAATTTTTTAAGATAGAAACTAGAAGTACATTGGGGTCAAATAAACGTTTATAATTCCTTAAACTTAATTATTTAAGCTTACCTCTGTCTCTGACCTCAAACTAACCAACATCAATTTTGTATTATCTTAAAGTACCTTATTTCCTTGTCTTGACTTAAGATGCAATGTTATGAATAGTCTAATAATAATTATGATAGTACTTGTGTTCATATTTTTATAGGCAAATTAATAAAAAAGGAATTTTAATAACTTTTGAATAGGAAGTGACCAGGGTAAATTTTTTTAGAATAGCAAGTGACCAGGACCCCGACCCCAGCTAAAAATAAGACTTTTTGCAAACCCAGCCATAGGGAAAATTATAAGATTTAGAAAAAATTTATAATACTTTATATATTATAGTTATATACATTTACTATTTATTAAATACTGGCATATCTTTATACATTTTTCAAATCTTATTTACTTCCAACGGGTTGTAAGCGACCACTATTAAGTTACGAGTTACTTTAAAATAGAGGATATGATTAAAAAGCCAGGTAATGGTTAACTGAAGACCACTGCAAGCATTAGGATGTTACAGATGATCAGATTAAAAATTGTCTGCTTGTTCTAATTAGTCAAAAAGTGAAGACTTTTTCTAAGGACTAGAGTATAAGTTGAGTCGTTAGCAAATAAAGCTTTAGATGTAAAATTTTCATAAAGATTATTATTAAAGATAAGAAACAATAGAGGAGCAAAGATAGAACCTTGTAATACCCGAAAAGTTACTCAAAATGAAGAAGAGTGTAGGCCTTCAAGGATAACTTTAATACTGTAATTAGAAAGAAATGATTTAATAATCTCAAAAACTACATATAAAGAAACTAATAACAAAGTGAAGGCTAATCATGGGATAGTTGGAGAGTGTTTTTTAGAGTTTTTCAAACTTGGAACCTAGTGCTTTTAATAGTTTAGCAAATATTGAAGAGAGTTTGGAAGAACACTTATTTAAAATCTTGTCTGAAGCAAAAACTGTAGAAGTAATTAATTGATAATTAACTTGAGTATTCGAAGCCAGAGTAATTTGGATGTTTAACAATGGGTTAATTTGTTTAACTGGTATAACAGGAAGTATGGTCTATTCTGCCAATAGTCTTATTTATTAGATTAGATTCAAGAGTCAAGTTGGAAAAAAAGTTCTTTCCAAATAACTCTACCCTAGGGAGAAGTAAAAAGATCAGACCCATGAAAAGGTGTGCATTTATGCATACATAATATGGATATAAACATGTATGTTTGCTATTTATTTAGATCCTGGTATCCTTTCATATTTATATAAACAATGTTCTTAAATATTTATATAAACTTTAGAATTTATATGGTTTACTAAACTATATAAATTCATTCACTAAACTTTAGTAAATAAGCTTTAGTTAAGGAAAGAAATTGATCTAGATTGTTTATATTAGAGAAACAGCATAAATAAGGAAACAGCATAATATTAGCATTAGAGAAACAGCATAAATAAGGAAACAGCATAATATTAGCATTAGAGAAACAGCATAAATAAGGAAGGCTAAAACCTGAAAATGATGATCATGATCATGATCATGATGGCAATGATGATTATGATGATCATGTTGATCATAATAATATTTATATATGCATATATATACAAAATATAACATGAATTTTGAATAAAAAATATAATTTAGGATGTATAAATGTTTATGCAACTCTGGTGGCAAACCTGGCTCTGACTATATTTTATCAAACCCGGCGTCTGTTAAATTTTAACCCCGGTTGCTTCTTTTTTTTGTATCTAGCAATTGAATTCAGAAAGTGCCAAATGGTTTGCAAACCAAAAAAATTAAATTATATTTATATATTTTTTTAAATTGTTGTTAATAATTAATATATAATAAGTATTAGTCACTAATGGGTGCTTGAAAAAAAAAATTTTAGTTTGAATTCACCCTCCGAAGCCATGAAGACCACTACAGCTAAAGAGGCTACTTAAGTTGTGACTACAACCCTGTCTCAACTCTATAACTCTGAAATACGAACCTTGACAAACAAGGCCGCTGCGCAGGGAAATAAGTTAAGGGCAGTACTAACCAAGAGATGGTGGTGATTGAACTTAGAACTCTACCACTACACCACTACCACATAGTTACACTTTATCATTAATTTATTTATAAATTAAATGATTACTTATAAATTAAATGATTGAAGTAATTATAATTTTATCCTTAATTATTATTTTATCATTAATTATTGACGTTACCCAATCAGATGACACATAAAAATACTTTAATATATAAATTAAGAAAAATATATATATTAGGAGCATTTACAAATACAACTTTTTGTTTAGTATTTGACCTTTAAGTTTGACCTTTATCAAAAGTTTGAACTTTTGAAAAGAGCATTGTCCTCGAGGACTTAAAAAACACATATTGATATACTTTAAATAAAATTGACAAAGGTGTGAGTCACTTAAGTTGTGTTATTATTAAAATCAATTAAATTTCCTGATTTTATAAGTTACTTTAAAATGTTAAAAATAACTTAATTTTTATCTATTAATAAAGACCTAATATTTGTATCAAATTTTGAAGTAGAATATAAAGGTTTTGGATTTTATAACTGATATAGCAGATATTAACAGATTATTATAAGAATATATACGCATAATAAAAAAAGACTTGACATCACTTGACTGGCAAGGACAACACTCTTGCTGTAAACTAAGCCAAGTCACAACGCTTTGAAACCCTGGAAATAACATTATAAACACTTACAAACTAACATAATACATAACATTATAACACATTACAAACATAAAAACCCTACATATATAAAAAATATTTACACACTTACAAAATATAAACCCATATAATTTTAACATATATAAACACAAATAAATAACACATAAATAATTATATTTAAAATAAGAAAAATATATAAATTAGGAACATTTAAAAATACAACTTTATTTTTGTAATATTTGTTCAATGAAATACCATTTTTTTATTCTGATTCACGCCCAACAATGCTGCAAGCAACCACTATTAAGTTAGGAGTTACTAAAAAAAAAAGAATAGAGTTATAGAGCAAGGAAACGGTTGACAGAAGACTTAAAAAGATTGTATGAGTCAGGAAAACATGAAAATGGGAAAAAAGGGTTGAAGTGTGGGGAAAAGATAAGATTTACACTGCCCTAATCTATTGCAGAAGTGAAATCAGATTCAAGATCAGCTGCCTGTTCTAAGCGATCAAAAAGACTTTGTCAAGACAGGAGTATAAAGTTAAGTCATCAGCAAAAAGAGCTTGATTAGATTAGAGCTTTATTAGACTAGATTAGTTGGGAAGATCATTAATGTTGACAAGAAACAAAATAGGATCAAGGATAGAACCTTGAGGTACCCTAGAAGTAAAGAAGAGTGTTAGCCTTAAAGGATAACTTTAATAAACAGTTAGAAAAAGACGATTTGATAATCTCAAAAACTTTCCCAGATACACCATATGAAACAATCTTATGGAGAAGGCCAACATGCCAAACTTTGTTGAAAGCCTTAGATATGTCAAGAGCAATAGCCCCAGCCTTATCAACTTTAAAAAACAAACAATCAAATAACCTGGTTTTTTATATTATAAAAGCAAACAGAGTTTCTGTAATTTTTTTAAAATAATGTTAAATGATCTTGTTCTTGAACATGCAAGAATGCAAGGTAAACACCAATCTTATCAAAACTTTGACCCTTGAAAAGAGCATTGTCTTTGAGTTCTTAAAAATGAAAATTACAGATTAATATACTTTATATACAATTGACAAAGGACTTGAATTATGTTATTATTAAAATGCATGAATTAAATAAATTACTTTAAAAGTTAATATACTAATTTAAAAATAACATTAAGTTTATCTATTACAACAGAAGTCATCAAATTATAAAAGTTTTAGATCTTATTACTGATTAAGCAGATATTACCAGATTTTAATAAAGATAATAAAAATTTATGAATACCTTATCGTGGGGTCAAAAATATAAAGGGAAATATTAAAAGCCCAAGTGTGCTAAATCTTCTTTTAAATAACTCCTTGTCAAAATGCGCACAAATGAGTAATGGCTTTTTTTAGAAAAGCAAAAAAAAAAAACCCGTCTTAAAAAAATTAAGCGCAAGGCAATCTGTCAAAAACAATGCAGATCAAGTTTGAAATGAACACTTAATGATATTGTAAATGATACTCCTTACTTAAAATCAAAACTTTCTAAATTCAATAGAGAAAAAAATTGCAGACCAGTTCTAATTGAAGATCAGCCAGATCTTTTTAATGCCATCGTTAACATTGCATCAATAGGAGCCGCTGCTAGCGATTGACTAAAATCGCAAGAGTTATGTTCATGTAAAACACTTGATGACTTAAATAAAAGCCTATCAAAATTAGCTTATTGTTTATTGCAATCTGTAACTTATTTAATACTGCTGCCTAAGCAATCAAACACACTTGTTTTGATTGCTTAGGCAGCAGTATTAAATAAGTTACAGATTGAACTTGACAGTTCCTGTGAAACTGATCACGACTGCCAATACAGCTCACAATATTGGCATATTGTTGCTGGATTTACATTTGCATACATGCAATACATGGATGAAATTTGTTCAATATTTAATCAAGATTCATGTTTTTATTTAAGCTACAATGCTAAAGTAGCTGCAACAAAACAATCACCAATTTTAATGCATCTTGATTATCAAATACGTTTGCCAGATCATGATTTTTTAATTGCTTCCAGACATAAGCTTATACCTACTGCTTATGTAGCTTGTATTATTGGCCCAAACAAGTTTGCTGATGCAGTGTCATATTCTGAACCAATATATTTTGCTATTAGATCTATAAAGCATGATAGCAACATTGCTTTTACTCAATTGAAAATTTTAAGCTTCACATTTGTACTCCAGAAGGTCAGGTGAAACATATATTTATTATTGCATGTGATGGAGGCCCTGATAAAAATCCGAGGTTTCCAAAAAAATTGGTCAAAAAACTTGCAAAATCTGAAAAACTTATCGAGCTTCTAAAGCAAGTGTTGAGCATTTCAAATGAGTGTTTAGAAACATAATCAACAAAACCTCTGAGGAAAATAAAAATGATGAAAACAATGATACTCATCAATTAACAGTAAATGAAAGTAATTCTGATCTTATTCATGTTATCAAAAACATATTTAGTTGGATGAAATCACCTTTTGATTTAGATCACTAACAATTTAAATTAATTGATTAATGAAGACTGTATTAATTATTTTGTGTATAAATATTAAAATGATGTTTTAAACCCTATAAAGATAACAGTTTTTTTTTTTAATTTGTGATTACTCAAAAAAATTTAACACCCTGCCCTCAACCACAACCTATACTTTAAAGGTATTAAACAAACATTCTTGCCAGTTTGTTGATTTTAAGAGTTTGATTCCTGTTTTCCAGCTAAAGCGCTTAAAGATCAACTACACAAATCTTTTAACAAGTCTTTTTTATTTTATTTTTTGAAAATGATCTTTTAAATGGTTGCAAAATAATACACTTCACTCTCACCTTTGTTTAGAGTTGAAAACATTAAATTGTTTGCTTGCTTTTTTTTTAGGTAAAATTCTTTTCAAAAATTTATAATCTCAAGTTTTCTCAAGCTTTTTAGTTTTTTATAATGACCAAAAATATTATGATATTTGAGATAAGATTGGCTGATGATGCAATGTTGTTACGTAACATTTTTTATATTCTAGCAATAATAACAAAATACAGGCCTTGTTTTAAATAAAATATGCTTAATGCAATAGCCTAATGTGAATTTGATGACATAAAATTCTCTTTTTTATTTTATTTTTTTAAGACATTACCTTTTTTAAATTACTGCAATAATATTAATTGCCACAAAACGAGTTAGATGTTATTAAACTTTTTTTATTATTACTATAAGGAAATTTTTTTTTTTTTAAATTTTTTATTTAATATTAAATATATAAATTTAATATTACATTTTTAATAATGTTTGATATTAACAATTTTTTTACTTTTCTCAATATTTGCAAAAATGAATTTTTTAAATGATTATTTCTTAAATTTAAACTCATATCTAATATTAAAATTAAAATCATTATCTAATAAAAAATGAAAAAATAATATACAAACTGTATATTATTTTTTTGGTAATAAATTTTTGATTGAAAATTTCTAATCACAAATGATTTTTTATTTAAAAAAATTAGCGAGAAACAAATTAAAAAATTATGTTAATTTATTTACTTCATTTATTAAAAGTTTATTATTTTATTAATATTTTTAAATATTTTTAAATTTGACAGTTAAGTTAAACCCATAAAAACATTAAATTTAATTTCAATAAAATTAAGTATATTTTTTGAATCAAAATTAAATTATATAGTTTTTAGATCTTAATTAAATATATATATTTTTTTATGAGAATAAGATTAAGTATTTTTATTAAATTAGTTTTGAATCAGATTTCATTTAATATCAGAATTAAATTATATTGTTATGGTCTTTGCTTCAAGCTTAAAATATAAGTGTTTTTCAAGCGAAAAAATCAATCATTACAATAAAATAAAAACAAAATGAAAATAAATTTTTAATTCCATTTGAGTTTTTTTCATTAGTAAATAGCGCTTGTATCTAACATAATTGTCTTTCAAACTTTTGTAACAAATATTTTTACATAAACGTCATTCAAAAATTAATGTGATTTTTTTTTTAATTAATTACTTCTTTTATCTTACCAATTTTAGAATAATTTACAAGTTAAAAAGTGATAAAAGTTACTTAACCAAAATCGCTTACTGCTTACTGCTTACTTAAAATCACTTAAGGCATAAGTAAATCACTTTACGCATAATGCTTTAAAACAAGGCCTGATATATATATATGATATATATATATATATATATATATATATATATATATATATATATATATATATATATATATATATATATATATATATATATATATATATATGTTGTTATTATAAAAATAATATGTTCTCATACACAAAGAATTTTTGTATTTATATAAGATTGACCACAAACATGTCTTCCTTGCTAAAATTATTCTCCTACTTTTATTGCGATGCAACAACATACGTGGAGGGGTATGTAAAAAACTGTGACATTAAAAATTTGAAAGAAAATCTCCAGGAGATAGTCTTAACAATTGTTTTGACTATCGCAAGCAAATTTAAAAATTGTTTGTTATCATTAAAACTTTCCCTATTCCTAAATTAATAAACATAACCAAGCATGCGAGACGTTACATTTGTAAAACGCTTCAAACGATACTTTGAGGTGCCAAGTAAACGTGCCTGCCAATTTATTTGGAATTAAAAATCCACAACATTTTTAACAAGCCCATTAAAATATATTACATTTTTGTTGTTAAATTTAAACTTGTTTTAATTAATTTTTAAGTTTCTTTAGTAAAGAGAACTTTGAAGTTTCCAAAAAAAAGTTTTCACAAAAAAATTATAATTAGATCTCTTTTTAAGAGCTGTTGTACTTCACTCCCTCCACAACTGTCATTTTAATGTGACGGTCATGGTTTTATTTAAAAAAAAAAATTATATTCAAAAACATCCAGTTATTAATTTAAAAACATCTAATTATTAAGTATTTCGTAGCTGTGATAAGTTTAAAAAACAAGAATTAATTAATTAAGAATATTTTTTTTAATTAGTACGTACTTACTTTTATATTCAAATCCTCCCCCTTTCCTACTTCATCCCCTTCCTCTGCCATACACTTTTATGTGCTTTTGGCAGACCTCTCCCCATCACCCTATTTGCGTACATACTTTATGGATAACCCCTTACTGTACAGTTCTACATAAGATCAAAAAGAAATTTATCAATAGTCTTAAAGATGAAGAATTAGATAATTCTATTTGAGCTGTTTTGCAGGAGGATCTAGTTATCCTATTAACTAAGATATAATTAAAGCTGGAAATAATGCCAACTTTTTCAATATTTTTATTTTTTTACTAAAATTTCTTTATTAAATGTGAACTAAAATTTTTGTTATTGTTAGTGTTAAATGTTATTAAACTAAAATATATGTTATTTTTTATTATATTTATCTGGGAATTAGTTTATCTTTAACAGCGTTATTGAGTAACAATGACAACATTCATTACCATTTTTTCTTAGTAACTTTCATATTTTTTTAATAAATTTTAATTTGTATTACAAACTGTGTAACATATTTTTTTAAAGGTTGTGTTTGTTGCTTTGTTGTGCCCATTTGCTTTTTTCAATTTGTCGAAAACAAAGTTACTTCAGATCTTCACCACTTTGTTCAGATGGATAGGTATAATTTATTATATTGCTCTATAAAACATCCATGTTTTAAAATAGTTAGGAAAATTTAAGTTCTAAATTGTGACTTTTTTTTTTTTTGAATTCATCATTTCGAATCTTTTATGTAATGTTAATCAAATAAATAACTTTTGGTTTTCACCAAAAGTTATTTTTTTGGAGTCAAGAGAAAGTTTTGGATTCCAGAATTTCCATGTGTTTTTTTTTTTGTTTGTTTTTTTGCATGAAATTTGATATTCTTTAATATCCAGATATTTTTTTAAATTATTTTTTAATCCAAATATTTTTTTAAATTACATTTTAATTCTGTGAATAAACTTTTTCTTATGTAGGATTTAGTTTGTTAGACAAATGGTGACAAAATTTCACCTGACTAATGCTTGCTAAAATAATAGAGATAAATTCTTAAAAAGTGGATTAAATCATTTTTTTTAACAACAAGGTTGTTTTTTTTTGCGAAGTGTGCTAAATTATTTTTAAATTAAATTTTGATCAATTTTTTATGATTGATTACCACAGATGGGCATATGACCCTTGTTAGATATTGGTAAAAGTTCTTGGTTATTATCCTAGTTAGGTTTGGCTTGGCAGCGTTACACATGTTGATATTTACTGTAAAATTAAATGAACTTAAAGCAAAAGTTTTTGTCTGCTAGTTTGCACAATGGT